TATTATTATTATTATTATTATTATTATTATTATTATTATTATTATTATTATTATTATTATTATTATTATTATTATTATTATTGTTATTATTATATTTATTTATTATTACTGCTAATTATTATCGTTAATTGTCATTATTAGTAGATTGATTAATTAATATCATTATTATTATCACTTATTAGTGATTAACCAATTAATTACCATCATTATTACTGTTATCAATTATTATTATCAGAACTTTAAAAAAATTAGGAATAATATATAAATGAATAAACGAATTGAATAATCAATTAAAACTTTTAATGTTTCTGAAATTTGCTAAATTTGAAATAATCAGATAAAATTGGTAATTTTCTTTTTCTTTTTAATAGGTCAACCAATGAATCAAATATCAAATTTTGCGAAAAGAAGGTATTTTACAACATATAATTGTAAACCTTTTCATAGTCCTAACAATTTTTCAAGATATTTTTACTAACATTTGCATGCATGGCTTTTTCTATGCTTCTTCAATTAATTAATTAATACATTATAGTTTTTAATGCTTAAATAATTCTTTACATTTTTTGTCCTTTAATAAAGTGCGTTGTTTCGTTGTTGTCAAATTAAAGTGTTTGTTAATTGCAGTTACAATAAGTGAATTCATTACTTAATACAAATTAGCTTATGTTTCACTTTTTTTTTAATTTTATTTTTTCAAAATTAATTTATTTATATTTCATCAATTGTTTCATTCTATGCTATACTTACTTTAATATGTTTTACCGCCTATCTTTCTTCCATTTCTCTGCATCACTACCAGTACTATTTCAATCATATATTCTTTATTTTAACTCATAATGATAACTATACGATAATCTATACTCTTTAATTATTGCCATCATACTAATTACTGTTTATTCGTTTAATCTTTTTTGTTGAAATTATTTCAAATTTATTCAATTATCATTTTATTTGCTAATATTTAATTTTTTTAATTAATTCCGAAAATTAAAAAAAAAAATTGTGAAATATTCTTATTACTGTGAATTTTTCAAATTTATCAATTTCAATTGTTTTTCTTTTTCATTGATTAAAATCATTTTTTTTATTAACAAAATTTTTTGAAAAAAATAAGAATTTGAAAATTTTGAATTCATTAAAATTCTTTCAATAAAATTTTAAGCCAACAAGTAATTACACCAATCCAGCATGCTGTATCATCAAATACTTTAACAAGTAAATTGAATGAAAATAACAGTAAAAAGAAAACTGATCGAACAACCGATCTGACAACTGATCGAACAATCGATCGGATAACTGATTTGACAACTGATCGAATAACTAATAGGACAATGGTTGGTTGGACAACTGATTCGAATTCAAATTGCAATTTGAATCAATGAATACTTTTTATCTGTTCGTTAAAGTTGATTGTTGGAAACATTTTATTTTCATTTTTTTTCTTTTTCTATTATTTCCTTCTACTGTACGTCAAAAAATTTATAAAATCTCTTACATTTTTCCTTTTTTTTTTTTTTTCTCATTCATTTTCAAAATTTTACCCATTAATTAATGTGTAAAATTTTGTCGTTAATTAATTGTATGATCAAATTTTGTTTTTGCAATTTATAATTTAACTTCAATCAAATTTAGGACAACAAACTTTTCCTCATTTTTCATTTTCAACTTTTAAACAATTTATAAAACAGCAACAGAAATGTCAAGTGCTAGTTTCATGCTAATGTACGCTTAATGATTCGAAATTAAAGTTCGAATAATTTATGAAAAACAATTTTAAAATTTAATAATTTTGGTAAGTTGAAGACCTAAAATATCAATTTGGCAAATATTTCATTAATTATTTAATTGATTAATTATGTGACTGACAATTGGTAATTTGATAACAACACAAAAAAAAATAAAAAACTATTTGATTACGCCCACTTGCCAAATACTTCCTACATAATATCATAACTTTTCAAAAAATTTAAATGACATCAAATTTGACAAAATTGGACGAAACAAATGACGAAAGTTTTTTTAGCTTTTTAAATTTAAAAGTTTTAACTCTTTCTTTTCTGTCACGTTCTTTTTTTTTCACACTAAATTATTAAATAACAAAATATGTAAAAATCGATATTTTCATTTTTTTTGAAATTCTTTTTTAGATCATTCCCAATCACTAAATCGGAAAATACTACACTGGATAAAATCAATAGACGATTAACGGTGATTGATAACAATCGAATCAATGAATTTGTCCGAAAAGATATAGGTAAAGGTGATGATGATAATAATAATGATGATGATGATGATGATGATAACGACGATGATGATGGTAATAATAATGATAATGTTGTTACTACAACTACTAATGATATTATCATTGATGATAGACGTGTTATTGTCAGTGCTAATAGTTTGGAAGAAATACGATTGCTAATTAATGGACGTTGCAGTACAGTGTAAATGCAAAAATTGTTGATTTATCTGGTGAATAGAGAAATTTTTCAGATATTATGATAATGAATAATATGAATAAAGTGATTAAATTTTATCATTTCCTGCAAATGATCATTTCAATGGTATTTAAGTATTTGAATATAGAATTAATTCGAAATGCTTGAAGTATGAAAAGTTGCAAATAATTTTTGGTCTAATTTAAAATAATTTTGTAAAAACATTTATCCTTACTATTTTCAGCAATTTTAAAAGGAACAAAATTAATGTGAAATTTTAAAATATTTAAAATTTTGAAATGCTTCTCTTCTATCACTTGAATAAGTGTAAAATTTTTATTAGAATAAATGAAATGAGAATGTAAAGCATTAATTAAATTTCAAACTAGAATTTCCCTCAATTAATTTATTGTCAATCTGTAAAAGTGTATCTGAACTATGATTTTATTGATTTCTTATTTTATTTTTTTTATTGATTTTATCACCACACTTTATCATTTAATATCATTATCTAATGGATAAAAATAATTCCTAATCCTAGAAACAGGAATAATTCATTAATCAAAATTTGATTTCATTTTTTAATTAAATCACTAATTATTTATTATTTTGTATACTTTACTATTTAATTTAAAATATTACTTTCAAAAACAAACAAATAAATAAAAAGGATCCATTTAATCTTTTTTGTTTACTTTTTGAAAATTATTCAAAACATATATATTTTTTAAATGTTGATTATTTTTCTTGTGTTTCATTTTTAAAATGTTTTTTTTTGTTATGATTCAATTTCTTCACATATATGTCTTTTCTATTTTTTTTCCTCTAATGTAAAAATTTATATGAATTTATTACAAACAAAATGTTCTAATTTTTACAACATAAAATTTGCATTAAAAAAATATTTGGAATCATTTTTAGAGAATTTGAGTGTTCTTTTTTTTGCTTACTTTAATTACTTAAATTCAAAATAACTTTTATAATTATTAAAGACTCTTTTTTTCCTACTTATTCTTTTTTTTTGCAGCAAAATGGTTATTCAATTTTCAATAACTTTCCCCTTTAAGATAATTCCAATTTTTAAAAAAAAAAGGTTTTTTT